ATATTTCAATTTAATCTATGATGTTTTAATACATTTTTCCATTTAATATCTCACTATCGACATAAACGTTTAAATTGGTTAATGAATTGACATAAATTTAAAATAGGAAAAAATGTTATTTTAAGACAAGAAAACTTCTAAAAGAATGAGTAGAAATTTATTGATTTCTTCTATTAATGACATTATTTTCTCTCTATTATATTTTCATCCATTTCACCAAATATATTGTCAGGAACCCATATTAATATTTTCAATGGTGAGGAAATAAATTGAAAATTATTAAAATTAAAAAAAAAACAAGGACTAAAACATATATATCTAGTAAAAAAAAAGATATATAAAACTTTTGATATATATACTTCGGCTTCTATCCCTCTAAAAGTGGTTGAAATTTCAAAAGCTTGTGTTCTTTCTTTAGGGAACATTTTGCATTTTTTTTTTTATAATTGATGCTTTGGCTTTTCACTACCAAAAAAATCAACCAAAGTGTCGAAACTCCCATAAAAGGGCGTGTGAAGATTGGATAAAATGTTTTAGAGTGTTGAAAATATTTAATAGAAACAAATTTGGAGATGCTTTTTATTCGACTAAGTTAGGTAAGTGTATTCATCAAACATACATATATTCAAATTATTAAAATTCTGAACATTAAAAATTAAAAATTAAAAATTCTCTTACCAGAACAAGCTCACTTATGATCATTAAAACGAGATCCTAACATTTTAAATGTATTTGTTTCTATTACTTTTTTGACTCTGTACTTATCTCTATCACAATGTTTATTTTAGTTTTATCATATTGTAAAATTCATTAACATATATATATATATATATATATATATATTAAACTCAAACACACGTCCGGATCTTATTGGGATTCCATTCTATATAAAGAGAAAGAAAAGGGGACAAAAGTACCCAGTGGAAGAGAGGATCCTGAGTTTGTAAACGCCATGGAATTAGTTGCTGCAGCTGCAAGTTTGAGCCCGGCCACCATTTTGGTGATAGCTTTGAGCTTGGCAATGGCCGCAATCATCTCCCACTCTCTTCTGAAACTCTCTGTAATAAAGGCAGCACAAAATTACCCTAATTTGCCTCCTGGCTCCATGGGCTTCCCATTCCTTGGACAGACTCTCGGCCTTCTCAAGCCCCATCCTTCAAACTCCATTGGAACCTTCCTCCACCATCATTGCTCCAGGTAAACCTCCAACGCTGATTAAATTTATCTAAAACTTAAGTTTTGGACTATCATTTTTAAATTCCTGTAATAGAATTTCCTCTCCAAATTTTCAAGTCACTGAAAAAAATGACATTTAGTGACAAGTATATCTTGCGTCCAATCAGCGAAGAAAAAAAAATGACACAAGAATAGTCGCGAGAGCAGTATTGCTATTGATCTTCCAGTCGCGTTGCAAATTTTGGTGAGTGCGCCCTTATTTTGGAATGGGCGCGGTCAACCACTGCGATAGATTACTTTCGTTGTTTCACTTTTTCGTCGCATCTAGAGTAACAAATAAATATTTTCGTCGCTTAAAAAGTGACGTTTTTTCTTCCAGTTGCTATACTAGCAACAAATTGATATTTTCATCGCTTATTTAGTGACGAATTCTATTTTCGTCTGTAGATTTCGTCGTGGAACAACAACTTTCTTGCAGTGAGTTTTTTAAGTGAGGGGAGTAGCATACACTAAAATGAGATTGTTAAAGTTTCTTATATTTTCATAGAGAGATTTTTTTGGACACAGATGTTAGTTTGTTGGATTTTGAAACTATATCAATATTGATTTTTTAGCTATCAGTTTTAAATTCCTGTCGTATCATTTCCTCCCCAAATTTTTAAGTCTTTTTGTAAGGGAAGTAGCATGGACTAAAATGAGATTGTTAAGGTTGTTTATCTTTTCAAACTGAGATCTTTTATCTGACACCCAGACGTTAGTTGACTGGACTTTGACATCCTATAAATATTTACGAAATTTCATATCAAAATCAATCGTTTAAAGTTGTTAAGTTGTTGGGTTGTTTGCAGGTACGGGAAGGTTTTCAAGTCTCATCTATTCGGGTGGCCGGCGATAGTGTCGTGCGATCAAGAGCTGAATATGTTCATTCTTCAGAACGACGACAAACTTTTCAAAGTGAGTTATCCGAAGGCGATGCATGGCATTCTCGGCACCAATTCGCTGATTATTGCCGCCGGAGACACCCACCGGAAGCTCAGAAACGTCGTCGTTAGCTTCATCGGCTGGTGCAAATCCAGACCCAGTTTCCTTCACTGCGTCCACAACCTCACTATATCTTTGATGGACTCATGGCGATCCCAAAACCAAGTGTTCTTTTGCAAAGAAGTCAAGATGGTAAAACTACTCGTCTATTTCTTTATTTTGTCTTCAAACTGTTTTTGAAATTGATCCAGTAACATTCTATTTTTTATTTTTGAAGAAATATATTGTTTGGTAACTATTTTTTATTTCTCTATCTTTATTTTTAAAAGGAATAAACGTTTTCAAAATTAAGTAAAAATTTTAGAAACAACAAAATCAAATTTATTATTATTATTTACAGTTTCTAGTCTTTTTCAATRCATTAATAAAAATTTACTTATAAGATGTGAGATAGATACAAATTTTGAATAATTAATTTATAAAAAATTAATTTTCATCGTATATAAATTTTACTTTTCTAATTTAAAATTTTAGAAAGAAAAACAACAAATAGTTATCAAACATGTTTTTGTTTCTGTTTTTGTTTCTTCTTCTTCATAAGAAGGAAAATAAGAGATAGAGAAACATTTAGTAAACATATAGTTTTATTTCTATTCATTAGAAACAGTTATTAAATGGACCTTAAAAAACTAAAAAATAAAATGGTTATCGAATAGTCTTAAAAATTATGACTATGTGTTTTGAATTTATAAATTTCATTGTAATTAATTTTCATTCCATATGCAAAGTAGAAATCTGTGTCAGTGTTTTTACCTATATTATTTTTCAGTTTGCTCTTAGCATTATGGTGAAGGAACTTCTGGGCATTGAAGCGAAAGAGGCGATAGGATCAAAAATATTGGAAGAGTTCGAAAAGTACATGAAAGGCTTTGTTTCTTTGCCTATAAATCTCCCCGGGACAGCATATTCTAATGCTGTCAAGGTTCTATTATCTCCTAATCCTTTTCGTACTTTCAATAGTACATATTGTATAACTGTCAGCTACATTATTATCTGAACCGTTACGTTATATGCTGTTGATTAGGCTAGGGAGAGGCTTTCCTGCATGGTAAAAGAGATGATGAGGGAGAGAAAAAGGAGGGGAATGGTGGTGGGGGCTGATGAGGACTTTCTACAAGTCATAATGTCAAATTGGAAGCTTAATGATGAAGAGATTGTGAGTGTTGTGTTGGACATATTGCTTGGAGGTTATGAGACAACAGCTACCCTTATGGGATTGATTGTCTATTTTCTTGCACATTCACCTCCCAATGTTCTTGCAAAGTTAAAGGTATATCAAAAAAAAAAAAACCTATTATTTATTGTCACATTATAATTATTATACTCTCGTGATCGTTAGATGTATGACTTTTCTTTTCTAGTATGAATATATTGTATCGCAGATACCCAAATTAATTAATCTTGATAAATGATGGTGCAGGAAGAACATGAAGCAATAAGAATCCGTAAAAGGAATGGTGAAAGTCTCAACTTGGAAGATTACAAACAAATGGAGTTCACAAACAATGTAAAGATTTCTAAATAGTTTTTTCCAATTAAAAAACAATTTCAAGATAAAGCATTCTATTTTCAACTAATTTTCTAAAATATATATAGACCCGAACAAATGGAGTGCACCCATTAATTATAAGTTCTTTTACCCTATAGTTTTGAACTATATATTATGCTGATATATATAAAACCTAATGGAAGGCTGCAACATAATATATATATTTAGGTGATGTTTGAAGCCATGAGATGTGGGAATGTGGTCAAATTTTTGCACAGGGAAGCGGTTAAAGATGTCAAGTTCAAAGGTAGGTCTGATCTTAATTATCTCCATTGTATATAATATTATCTAATTAGGTTGTAGAAATAAAATTTGATATATATATGTGGTGTAGAAATTGTGATACCCTCTGGATGGAAAGTTCATCCAGTTTTCTCAGCAGTTCATCTCGATCCAGCCCTTCATCCAAATCCTCAACAATTCAATCCTTGGAGATGGACGGTAAGCAATTCTTCTTTTAATCCCTATAACCACCCCATGTGTGAACATATATTTACTAGATAAAAAATGATATGATAATAATAATAGAATTTAGAGTTCATTTTAGGAGTACTTTTAATTGTTCGGTTTGGATTATCGTTGATATATTTAATTTGACGAAGAAACATGAGTTTTGTATATTCTTGTCAATACCACTAAAGAACAAACGAGGCCTGAATGAGTACAAAATAGTTCTAAGATAATGTATTTAGTCGATTTAGAATTATTTTTCAAAATGCTAAAAAGCATAAAAGAATGGTGTTCGGTGTTCAACTCATATTTAATTTATCTGCCCTAAGTTTTTTTTTTTTCACTCAACTTTCTCTTCACTTTATATGCAAACATATATCACTCTTTTTAGTCACAAACTATTTGACTTTGTGGTGTGTTTTGGGTTTTAGGATGATAAAGAAATGGGCAAAAAAGTGACACCATTTGGTGGAGGGCCAAGGCTTTGTCCAGGGGTTGAGCTTGCCAAACTAGAGATTTCTTTCTTCCTCCATCATCTTGTCCTTAATTATAGGTCAGTTTTTAACCAAAAAAAAAAACTTTTCATTTGAAAATTATTTGAAACTAAAACATGTTTCATTTAGGTGGAAGACAAGAGCAGATGAATGTCCACTAGCTTACCCATATGTTCAATTTAAAAGGGACTTGTTGTTGGAGATTGAGCCCTGCAGCTGCTGATCATCAAATGAGAGACTGGTTTTTAAATGAAACTTTATTGTAAAATATTATGTCCTAAGCTTTTGTGAAATATAGTATAATCTCTGTTGTATTGTAACGGTATATGGTGTCCACACACCAAAGCTTGGAATATATATGTCAAATTAATGGCTTATTTTTAGTTCTACACCATTTTCCCTTTTAGCATAGTTCTTTGATGTGAAACATAATAAAAACCTTTTAATTTGAATACGCAACACTATAGAAATAAAATCATTTGAGTTTGTTTGGGGTGGAAAAATCCTATTGCCACGTGGAGGACGAGGATTTGTCACTAAAGAAAGATCTGATAGAACAAACTTATGGAGCTCCATCTCGGAACCTTCCGAGGTGGAAGACTCGCCATTTCCTATCAAGCATCAACTCGTTGTTTTCGGGAAAGTATCCGAGTTCGATCTGCTAGTGTCCGACACGTCCAACCTCAAATCTGATCAAGGTAACCGCATGACGCAACCCTTATCGAAACCTAAACCTATAAATAGAGGGCCTCATTTTACCATCAGTACTGAATTTCTCCTCGAACTTAATATTGAGTCTGAGCTGCTTACTGACTTGAGTGTCGAAGATTTTGTCCTCTTGTGCAGGTCTTCCCTTTGAGTTTCAGGTCGGAGCTGGAACCGAATTCGAGTTAATTTGAGGTTGTGCAATTTCTTGCATAAACATAGTTATATTTGAACATACAAAAAATGTTGAACCTATTTTAAGGTATAAACAAGGGAGGTAATAGTCTAAGGTCCCAATTCTATAAAGTCTTATATTTTTCTTAAGTATATATATTTTTTTAATTTTCAATTATTAATGTAATTTGTAGTATAAAATAATATATTTTCCATACTTTTTTATAATATTAAAAATATGAACTAATAGTATATATAATTATTTTTAAAAAACTTCATTTAAATTCAAATCCATTTACTTTTATCTCTTCTTGCACCGTTGAGACCTTTAAAAAAATTTTATTAAAAAAATGGCCTTTCAAGTTTTCTTTTAAAACAAATACAACCATTAATATAATCCCTTACAATTCAACCATCAACATTGATTCAAAGGTTCAGAATTTAAAAAATATTGGTTCAAATTTCAAGTTAATCACTTACCTAAAATTTAATATTTTAAAATTATCTCAAAAATTTTATTAGATATAGTATATTTGAGTAATTTAGGCAGTAAGAAGTCTTTGGTCTGTTGGCTAATATAGGTGGGTAAGAATTCGAACCGAACCGGGTCGAAATAATTAATAGCATTAAAGCGAACCGATATCTTTCGGTTCGGATTTTGGTTTTAACCGAAACCAAATAGGTTTCTTTCTGACTTGGGCGCCACACGACCACCCCTCTCTCTCTGTGAACGACCACCGGCGGCCACCCTTCTCTCTCTGTGAACGACCACCGGCGGACGACGATCTCGACCCACCACCGGTTCTGGCCATTTAGGTCTGAAACCGTCCAAAGAAAACTGTTTGGATTTCTTCTGTACCATTTTTGAGGTACCATTATTTTACGAACTACTAAGATTTGTCTTTTTTTTTATTCGCTTTGAGCTGATGAAATTCAAAATTGTTTGGGATATCTTTGCTACTTTTGCGTTTCTTAGAACATCTGTTTAGTTCTGTGAGTTCGAAGCAACTTGTCTGTGTGAAACTGCAAAAAAGGAACTTTGTTTAAAATTTTCACAGTGATGAGGTGATCCTAGTCTATTCACTTACTGTAATGGCTAGCTTACTCTGTTTTTTCCTATTTTATAAGTTTCTGAGAATTGTTGAGAAAATGTGGAGTATTAAAGTTGGGAGTTAGAGATTTTTGAGTTTGGATGTGAAAGAAGGATCTTAGTTTTGTGGAATTTGATTTCAATTTCTCTTGTTTGATTGAATTTTGAATTTTGAAATTATGAGGGCCGGTTTGGTGACATTTCCATTTCTTGTTCCTATTTCCTCTTTTTAATAAAGAAAAAGGGGATTGCATGGTCCCAATACCTATAGATTCAAGAATGTTAAAACAATTTTCCTGTGAGAGATTAAATTAAAAATGGGAACAAGAAACAAGAAACTTATTTTTTGTTGTTTCATTTTGAGAATATTTCTAAAAGAAATGGAAACAATAAACATAAATAGTTGTAAAATGGATTTTATAATAAAATTGTAAAACGGGCTTTAGTTTCTTGGGTTTTGTTGTTTTTCTTAATCAAGGGGTGTAGTTTTTTAGTAGGTTTAATTTTATCTTTGATTAATTCACAGATGACTTCGTCTATTTCTGTTCTGCACTATTAGTCTACTCTTGTTCTGCTAGACATACATGCAGTAAACAAACTTGATAGTAGAATTGGATTCTTTACTAGTCATTTTAATTAGCGAATTTGTTAGATTAGTAAACCTAGAAGTGAAATAATGAAGATAGTTTGTGTGGTGTGAGTAACTCGTGTGTACAACGATAGAGCTCTGATGTTAATCTTATTTTTCTTATAGCAGCAATGCTATTTTAATATTGCAATTGTTATTTGAGGTTTTTAATCTCATCTTGTAGTAAGTATGCCCAAGGAGGAGATCTGTGAAGTTAATTTAACGACTGATCTCAGCCCAGAATCTAGTAAGAAAAGAGCAAAAAGAAGTAAAAACAAAAAGAAGCAGTTGTTGACTGAAGGTGTAGATGTCATGAAAATGAAAGAAGTAAGATCTGTTCAGGTGGAGGAAAGCAACATAAACTCTGATGGTGACAAAGTAAAAAAGAAGAAAAAAGGAAAGAAGAGTGCTAAACAATGTGTAGAAGAGAACTCTATCAAGGCTGAGGCAGGAGAAATTGAAAGTAAAGCAGAGAGTTCTATGAAAGAGGGTGGTCCTTTCTCTGATGGTGGAGGTGAGAAAGATGCAGCTTTTGAAAAGAAGCAAATTCCACTGGAGCATGCTGAGGATGCGAGGGCAGACAGTATTGTTAGAGAAAACTCTGGAGAGAAGATTCTAGAGTCTAACAATGGAAAATCAGATCAAAGGATAAAGAGGAAGAAACGGCTTTTGAAGGAATCTGCAAAAGCAAATATGTGTGGGATTTGTTACTTGAGCCGAGTTCCTCCACATATGGATCCATTGAAACTTCGACAGATCCTCTCACATTATGGGGAGATACAAAGAATTTATCTTGCACCCGAGGGTAATGAATAATAATGCATAATGTTTTCTTTGTCTAATTGTTTTTCTGTTGCTTCAAAATTTTGATTGCATATTTTTTCTTTCTTTAGCTCCATTGCTATCATTTTAGTTTAGATGTCCATGATCTAATTGAAGGTTACTTTTGTATTCATGTTCAGACGCTGCAAATCAAGTACAACGAAAGCGTGCAGGAGGGTTTCGAGGGCAATTATTTTCAGAAGGGTATACTCACACTCCTTAGTAACTTTTGTTTTTTTATTTTATTGAAGCATACTCTTGTCACTACTTGGCTTGTCGAAGGGCTTGGTTCTAGTTCCTGATGTAGTATTCTCCTTATACGTGCTCTATGCAGATGGGTTGAATTTACTGATAAAAGAGTTGCGAAGAAGGTTGCTACTATGTTAAATGGTGAACAAATAGGTAACTTTTTATTTAATATGTTCGTGTTTGTACCTGATATCCTAGCTTGATCCATGATTTCTTCTTTCACTTTGGAGGATGATTCATAATTAGCTTTTCAATGATGATAGACACTAAATTGGGATGTTCGATAATGCTCTATTCAGCTCAGAATAGTGAATTAGTTCTTCTGTGGCATGCATAACGTGCTTCATAGTCTATTTAATTGGGGTTATGAACATCTTAAAATATCATTATGTTCATAGTTGTTTTTCTCTACCTGTTGTGCATGTATTAGGAGGAAGGAAGAGGTCATCTTTCTACTATGATCTCTGGAATATCAAGTATTTGAGTAAATTCAAGTGGGATGATCTTACTGAAGAAACTGGTACACACCTCTAAGACTTGATCCTGCCCCATTCGCCATGTTGCTTACAAAACTGTTACTGATGTTGAACGTTTCTGCAGCTTACAAGCATGCTATACGGGAGCAGAAACTAGCTTTGGAAATTTCTGCCGCTAAGAGGGAGAGGGATTTCTATCTTTCTAAAGTTGATAAATCACGCGCATTGAATTCCATTGAAGAACGGCTGAAGAAGGTACATCTAACAAGCCTTATTGGCACATAACATATTACTATCTCAGCATGCATTCTTAACAAATTAGGACTCGTGGGGATTCTCCTATCCCAGCTGGGATTTGCTTTGGAAATTTGCTGTCAGTTGAGTTTGTTCCTCATAGTGTAGTATAAACTATAAGCGTTGTCCATGCTTTGGAAATATAAACATTGCCCTCTTTTTATATGGCCTACAGAAGCAGAAGTTGCGAGAAGATTCAGAAATGAGTTCTGAACCTGTTGTTTACCAGAAACTTCCAAAACTGATCCGCAACTTCCCACAAACACAACCAGTTGCAGATTCTGCAGTAGAAAACAAACAGAGACTGTCTAAAAATATCCTGGCTGGGGTAAGTGATAAGTTATCATATGATTTACCTATATTCTGTCTGTCAACTTATCAGATTTTACTCAGTTTATCATGTGAATGTGAAGTTCTTTTTAAAGGGTGAGTTTGATATGATTTTTAAATTGGTAAAAAGAGCTCTAAACCGCACTTCTCTAAACTTTCAAAACCTTTATGATATTTGATTACACCGTCATTTTAAAAGAAGTAATTTGAAGTGCTTTGCTTTAAAAGAAGTTCAATTATTTCATTTTTCTAAACTTACCCCAAATATATGCTAATAGCTTCATTTATCTTGCAATTTAAATATCTCTTCTTATCGATACATTTTGTAACCGAGATTTTGGGTAATGTCCTCTCTTCTGTAGGTGTTTGGAAGTTCGTAGTTAGTCCAATTTCCGAGTGGTATTAAAGACAAGTATGACGAGTGGTTTCTCGTGTAAGGGTTTAGGCAGGATCACCCAGTCTTTGGCGTATTCATTTGTTCATCTCAGACTCTAAAAGGGAAGAAAAAGGAATAGTTGTAGCACTGACATTTGTATTCGATAATTTTGAAAGTTTTGAATAGTTGTAGCACTGAAAAAGTGATTCTATACATGTTAAATTGTTGAAGTAGCATCCCTCGTAGAAAATATAGAGAGATATATTACTCACCCTTGATATTTTGTGTTAGTCAACTTGAACACTTTTCAAATATCAAAGGTTCGAACAACGAACAATGGTATGGTATGGTATGGTATATAATTCCAAAAGATAGAGAAATTAAATATAGATAAGAGAGGATTTGAATCAGAAATGATTTTGTAAAGGCATCAAATGTAAAAGAGAAAGAGGTCAACTTTAAGTATAGTTCAAAATATTAGGACACTTTTATTCGATCAGTTAATTAGAAGAAAAAAAAAGTTTGATGTATCCACAGAGCTACTTTGTATTTGATGGTTGTCTTGTTTTATTTGCATTAATTGATGGCTGAGTGTTGGACAATGGAAATTAAAGTCCTGCTTCCAAACTCCTACCAGAAAGTTATTTTATTCAATTATTTTTAATGCTCTCTGCCTCTCTCTCTCTCTCCTAACCATATTCAATTCGTAATAAAGCGAAGGAGTCAAAAATAAAAAGGGCACCGACAAGAGTTGCCGCCACTTTTTAATTTTGCAAAATACCAAAATTTATAAAAAGGTCTAATATACTTTTTAATGAACGATGATATTTCTGATTATGAGTTGTGTTGAAATACCAACGACATACCAATGTTATACTTGATAATTTTATTTATTGTGTGTTCAGTTTCTTTTATTGAACCGTGTTGCATTATGTACAAATATTAGATAAAGTGTATGCATTTTGTAATCTAAATGCATGTTTTCTATACTTGACATAAACGTTGATCTACTATAAATATACTTGATTTGTTTACATTAATTTACCTGATTATGCTAACGATGTACCTAATATGAACAAGGTATATATAAATATATTTGGTTTGAAATACTATTAATATACCTTATTTGATATATCATCGGTATATCTGGGTAAAATTGAAATAAGAAAAATCAAATTTCAAATATATTATATTTATATAACTCAAAACTTGATACTAAGCCAATATTACAAATTCTCCAAATAAAATTAGTTTTTTTTTTTTTGCTCAAAATNAGACTGCATCTCAAATCCCAAGAATTTTATTATTAGACATTTATTGTATTTAATAGGTCTCTAGCTAGGCTTCGTGTTGATTTTTTTTTTTTTTAATAATAAACAAGTTTAGAAACTAAGCCAATAATTACATTTAAGAATTGTTTCCAGACTACATTTTTAATGGCTATATTTCCTAGAGTAGCAATTCATTTCAAATCTAGTACTTTTATATAGGTCAAGTTATGTAAAGTGGATAGGTTTTGACTTCTATGAGTGGACGTGTTCAATTCATTAATGGATTTGGATATATTTTTTAAATCAAAAAGAAGAAAATAAACCTACGACTTTGTTACGAGGAAAGCTAAAATATTTTACTTTTTAAAATTTTTWAAAAATAGATTATTATGTCAAACAATTTGTTTTCCTGTATACGATCCTTAAAAAGTCAAATGGTTATTGATTTAAAAAATGATTATATATATAAATTGTTTCAACAGAAATTGTAATAATATAATAACATGCATCAGAAATTTAAAGTTCATAAAAACCAAGTCTCATCTTCATCCAAAGATTACAAACCCTAAAGGAGAGAGAGTGAGAGAGGATCCATGGATGTTCAGTTAGAAACTGATTTACTAATTTACATTTTGCTGTTTGAAGCTGAAAACTAAACACAAAAGGAAGAACAAGAGGAAGAAGAAAATAAATAAATAAACTCCCATGGATCCAATTCTCCCCATTTTGGGTGAGAAATTAAAGAACCCTAATTTAAATCCTATTATATTGTGAAACCTTCACATTTATTTAATTTCACTCTTCAAATCTTTAATTTTATTTTTTACTTCAGTCAACCAATTTCACAAAAAAAAAAATATATATATATATATATATATATATATAGTTCTCACCGTTATTATTATTATTTTTTTAATGTAAAATCGTCGGTAGAAGATTGGCAAGAACTAAAATAATATATATTTTTTGATGTAAAATGTGAAGACTAAAATAAAATATTAAAGAAATTGAAAGAGGAAAGTAAAATAAATATTAAACTGTAAAGGATACTTCCCAGTTCCCATCCAAGCAGAGATCTGATAAATAAAACAGAATCAAAGAAAATAAAACACTAATTAAAGCTTTGATTAGTGATTACCATTAATTATAGGTTGGGAGAGAATATTTGGGAGCGAAGCTTTGAAGGGCGGCGCATTGCTTGTTGAGGTATTTGATGGAGCTGGGATTAACTTGAAGGAACAGATAATTTCCGGCGAAAAGATCTCCCAAATACGCTTCTCCGTCTTTGAATCTCTTGACCACCTTCGAAATGGAGCCTCTCATGGCTTTCACGAGCCGCGATTTCTTCCTCAGCAGCTTCCTGAGGCTAGGGATTTTGAGCTTCTTCAGCCTCCTCCTAATCGAAGCCCTTCCGACAATTCCGAACCTGATCCCTGATCGTCGCCTGGATCTTCCGAACGACTCCTCAAATTCGTCGCTGTATCTCAGCCTCCGGTACCGGAATTTGCCTGCGGACGCGGTTTCGGACTCCGCCATGGCGGTTTTGGGGAGAGAAATCGATCGGCGTGCTCTGAAGTAGAGTGAGAGAGAGCATTAATAGAGTGATGAGAGAGAGAGAAGTTGTTGGATGCATTAAATGGTTAGAACTATATATATTGTGGTGGTGGAGTTTTCTACTTTTTTCTTCCTTTTTTTTTCCTCCTTTTCTTTTTGTGTTTGATTTTGACTTCTACTCCAAAAATCAAACTCACATGCATCTTGTACAAATAAAGCTTTTTTGGATTCATCTTCACATCCATGTAAATGCAGTTGAATAACCAAATGTTGAATTCAAGAGAAGGTGGTATGGTCAATAATATTTATTATTTTAAATAATTTTAATGAGCTATTTTTCTTCATTCAATTATTAGTGATAAGAATCCACGCTAAAAATACTCTAATAAATTAGAGTATGATATAAAATTTATGTACCATTCTTGATTATGATTGTGGTCTAATGTAATTAGAGGATCCTAATGTATTATAAAAAATAAACGAAAGAAGTCAAAGTGAGCATAATTCAACGATAATTTATATATATCTCCAAGAGGTTGTGAGTTCGATCCCCACCACGTGTTGTACTAAAAAAACACGAAAGATTGGAATGATGGAAGGATTCACTTTGTTTAATTTTTAAAGTAATTTTGGTATTAAAAAATATTTAATATTTAGAGACATACCTTAGATGTAATTTTCATTTTTCAGGGTCAAAATTGACATAGGTGATGTTTTATGCAGTGATTTTAAATCTCAAGTTGCTTTAAATTATTCTTGCTTGATATCATGAAAAAAAATCCAAGAGCTTGGAGAAGGTGCAAAATAAGCTATATATAATCATACAATATATAATTTGGGATTTGAGCATTATTACAATTAAAAAGATATGAGATCTCTATCTATATTTTAAAAGGATATTTATATAAATATCATAAAATAAATACATATTTTTAATATACGATAGAGTTTCCAATTTTATAAAAAATAATATAATTCAAATTAAACTCAAACTCAAATAAAATCTCACACTATGAAAAAATCAAAACTATAGTCAAATTGATATATTTTTTTGCAGCATATCACTAGAAACATTGTTAACTCAACTCATATACTGTTCAAGACGTAACCAAAGTCAAACATAAGTAAGAAGTGAGAAAATTTTATCAAATTGATATTTTCATTAGTGAAATAAAGTCTAGCTCTGAAAATAATAAAAATTAATTAACATGATAAATAGTTATTTTAGAGCGAATTTTAAATGTGTGGATCACGATCATATGCCTCTCTTTTAAAAAAAAAAAAAACTAATCATATGCCTATGTTGACATATAAACTTTTTTTTCCTTGTGTAATGTTGACATAAACTTTTATGAGAATATGTATTATCCCTGGATTTGAAATCTTCCAAAGAATCATTTTCATTGTATTATTTTCCTATTCCAGGTGAATTTCTCTTCATTAGAGATTAATTAGATAGAATAAATGATATTTAATAAGAAGTAAATGAGAATCAATTAATTATTAAAATGAAGCATACAGAGGCCCACAGGACACAAGTAGTTCAATATCACGTCTTATGGTTTTCCATATTAATTGTTCACATTAGTATCAGCACCAACACTATTATAATGTCCTCGTATTTTTAGTAATTTCCAAGCCATAAAGTATTTGTCACGCATGGACATTTTAGAACTAATTTTTTGTTAACCTTCTTTTTTTTTTTAGTATAATTTGTGAGGTGGAAGTTCGAACTTATGACCTTTTGACATTTTATGTTAACCTTTTTAATTCGGAGTTGTGTGATTAATCCTATATTATTCAAACAGTGATTGCTGGGCTGATTTTTTGACCTTCAGATTCTTGATATTGTTTATGACGAGGGTGATAAAATTATCACCAACTTTATTTTATTAAAAAAATGTAAAGACGAGCTTTATTTTCTTCACTCCTCTTAAACAATGAACATAAAAAAAATAGTTATCCACAAATAAATAGGAAGATTATAAAATATGTTAATTGCAAACTATGTTTATGTCGGCATCTCTCAGGATCAGTTGAGTTCTTATGACTTTCTATTTAATTTGATTGTGTTAACTAAAGTTTAAAATTGAGTGAAAAATACAACTAAATGAGTAGATTTATGAGTAAATATTAAAAACGATTAGTAAAGTTTTACCAAAGTATAAGGATCAAATCAAAATTACGGAGACTAAATTAAAATTAATCTTGCCAACATTAATATATAACTCAGTGATGAAGACATTTATCTTGGATCAAGAGGTCGTGAAAGTTCTAATTCTCACCATAATATGTTGTATTAAAAATAAATAGATTAAATTAATCTCAAATTGTTGGTATAAATTGGAAAGTTCTTCTATCCCTCTTATTTTAGGTAGGCCATATCGATTGGGAACTACAAAAGTGATTAGCAATGACTAGTTGAGCTCAAGCATTAGGGTAATGATCGATCCATCAACTTGTTAGTTCTTTTTATGAGGCACAGACGGAAGTTAATTCCTGCCAATATGTATTTGTTTGGTTGTCTACCTTAACCCGAGTTGAATTTGTAAATGAAAGTGAAAGAATAAGCATAAAAAAAAACAATGACATTGATAAACTAATTAGGTATTAGAATTGTCCATCTTATTCTCAATAGAGTCCGAATATTTTTGTCGATAAATACTGCATATTTGATTCCACCCATAAATGTCGAAGACATGAACTTTTGAGGGAACTTTTGAGCAACATATTTGGAGGGAATTGGATTTTCTCTAAAAAAAAACTTTGAGGTCCAAATTTTTTTTTATGGGATGTTTAAGAAGTGAGTCCCAATAAACGATTGAGACCTTACATTAATTCCACGATAAAAAAAACTATAAAAATGAAGAAATTGAAACTTCAATCACAATTTTTATACTCTATTTTCCTGGAAATTTATGTCAAGCAGCCAAAGAAAGAGTCATAACTCATAATGGGCTTTTTTTTTCCCTTTAAAGTCACAATGGGTTTTGCTCAGATTCGGACTTTATCAACTCAAGAAATTGAAAGTTTGAAAAAAAAATCCATTTTCCCAAGAGGAAATTTCATTTTCTTTTTCCTGATAGATGGAGAGGTTGAGGCAGTGGTAAAATGTTCATGAAGTTTATCATTTATTTATTTTAGTTAATTGTTCATGCAGTTGATAGTTCCCAGAAAAATCCTCGTTTGAAATAGACTTAGGGTTGGAGTTTGAATTTTTCCCCCTTAATACTAGTCATGTGCTTACTTCAAATTTTCAATTACATTTTTTTTTCTATTAACTTATTACTTATAGGTAAGAATGTTGAGTGTTTATATTAATTATTCAATCTTTATATCTATTTTGTTTTAATTTTGTGTTTTTTGAAATTTTTTTTTTTTGATATGTTTTCACCTTTCTTAAAATACATTTAAATTATTAGCCAAATTTGAAGAATAGAAACACGTTCTTGAAAACCACCTCATTTTTAGGTTTTAAATTTTAGCTTATATTTAAAAAACCATATCTATAGCCGGAAAAAAATACATTGTTAAGATTTTAAAATCTTAAGTAAAATAATCTTTAAAAAAAATTAAAACTTTCATAATGCACACGTTTTTTCTCAATTTCTATTTTTTTCATTTTTCTAAAAAATATTTAGAATTTCAAATAAATAAAAAAATTAAAACTATTTATTGTAGTTGACTTAAATTTTAAAAATATTTTTAAAAAGTAGATAAACAAAATATAGTTATTCATATTATGCGGGCTTTTGGTACTAAAAAAAATTATTATCTCAATAATAACATAAAAAAATAAAGTAACTAAATAGGAAGACTTTCATAGGACCGCAGCGTCCTAATCAGCAAATCATGGTGACAAGCATGTTCGGTGGTGTAATATCCACTCCACGCAGCTAAAAATGCGCTAAAGTTTCTCTACTTTCTATTATAAATCCACCGGATGTCTTCAATAATGCTCTTTTCTTTTTAAAATCTTCAGATTTCACACGCAACAAACAAACAATCATGTGCTCCGCCTAAACCCCATATTTTAAAAGATACCCACTTTTCCAAAAGCTCCACTCTTTCGGTACAAATCCGCCATTGAAACCCATTTTCAACTGTGCGCCCGTGGTTCATTGCTGAAGTATGGCCCCCATTTCATCTGCTCCCTGCTGAGGTATTTTTCTATCAAATCTGAGAAATCGCCCATAAGGTGTTTGTGATTATGCCTCTTCTTGCCGCTAATTAGGATTTGAGATTTTGGGGTTTCGATTAGTCGGTGTTTAGAGGCTCGAATGATGGGAAGTGATTGGGAATTCGTAATGTTGCTCATTTGGACGGAAAAATTAGAAGAACCCACTAATTTTTTTGGGGGTTCTTTTCTTTTTTCTGTCTAGGTTGTGCCGAGTGAAATTTGTGTTTATTTACTTTCTATATCAAGCAGTTTTCAATGGTAAATTAAGAATGGTGAGTTGTCTGCAGACTTCGGAATTGAGGAAACTTAACAGATAAGATAAGTCTATCTTCTATGAGTCGGGTCGGCTTCACGGGTTTGCGTGAACCAGTCATACGTGCCGCCATTTGGTTTTGATTTTTGAATACGTTTTCAAGTTTTTCTCAGACATTTCGTCCTTCAATTCCTACACGCGTCTGCAGTATTTAATTAGGAGGTGTATGTTTCTTTCTTGTTTTGTGACTTGATATTGTAATATTTCCTTGTAGATCAGGATTTCGATTTTTCTCCCTCAATTTTTATATCCTGCATTGAGATTCAGGGAGCAGGGTTTTGTTGGGTTCTGTACAGACCTTTTTTGCTTGATGGGGGCCAAAAGTTCAAAGGAGGCCTCGTCCTTTCGGTCGACTTCTTCTTCTTCGTGGGGTGGTGGTGGGTATCCTCAATCGTCATATGGACATGAAACCCAAAGTTATATGCCTCCGCAACAGCAACCCTATTCTTCCCAACCGTATTATACATCCCCTCCAGAGTGCTATGGGAGCGTTGATAATGGCAGGAGATTGGATAGGAAATACTCAAGGATTGCTGATGATTACAATTCTTTAGAAGAGGTAGTTTATAAATGGGTTTTTTGTTTGAATAGGGATGGATACTTATTTTACCCTTGTGGAATGGAGAAATGATGACTTCATCTCTGTATTCGTTGAATCTTCTTCTTTACGCTTCATTTGCATTTGTTATTTCTTCTCATGAATGAAGGACCTTCAAGTAATTTGGGCGTTCTTACATGCAAAAGGATGCTGCAATCTGGTGGATTTGCTTTGCTTTTCTTTTTTAGAAAAGAAAGGGAAAAGCTTAATGCTGGTTTATAACGTTTTTGTTTTTGGGTTTTTTCTTTTAAAAATATTCTTATTTACTAACTTCTTCTCTCTGTTTTGTGATGTACTTTCAAAATCCTTTTGGAATTATAACCAAAATTTGAGAACTACGGTGGAAGTTTCAAAACCAGTTTTTCATTTTGAAAAATTGGAATTTCAAAACCTGAAAAACTAAACTAAGAAGGCATCAGTAAAAATAATTTTTATGAGCTTAATTTTAAAAACAAAAAAACTGAAAATAAAATCGTTATCAGCCTTGAGTTTTGAGATGTGAAATATTCTTCTGTCTTTTTCAGGTAACACAAGCTCTTGCGCGTGCTGGCCTCGAGTCTTCCAATCTTATTGTTGGCATTGATTTCACCAAGAGCAATGAATGGACAGGTCAGACATTGGTTTAGTGCCCAAAATTGCAAGATATGGCCAATTATTTGTGGTGGGTCATTCTGACTTGACTTCTATATTGACAAATAGGTGCAAGGTCGTATAATAGACGAAGTCTGCATCATATTGGAGATCACCCAAATCCTTATCAACAGGCCATATCAATTATTGGAAAGACATTGGCTGCTTTTGATGATGATAACTTAATTCCCTGCTTTGGATTTGGGGATGGTTGGTATCTTTTCTTTTCCTTGCAAAGTTCTTGATCAATTAAAAATGTCGGTGTTAACCATTCTGAATTGGCAGCATCAACTCATGAACAAGACGTCTTTAGTTTCTACCCAGATGAGAAGTTTTGCAATGGTTTTGAAGATGTATTGAGTCGTTACCAAGAAATCGTCCCCCATCTACGACTTGCAGGTTTGTTTTTGTCTATAGTGTCTTTCTTATATTTGAAGGACTTGTCACTTTGATATGGAATTTGATCTCGTAACTCTCCTGGCTCTGTGATAGGACCAACTTCATTTGCACCTATTATTGAAATGGCCATGACCATTGTCGAGCAGAGTGGTGGCCAGTACCATGTTTTGCTAATAATTGCAGATGGACAGGTAGGTCTAAATGTCTAGTTCCCTGCTTTTAATAGGTTGATTTAGCTACTAGGGGAGGTGTTTAACGAAATGAAGTACTTGTTTTCTTCTTCTGCTGCTGCTTCTGGTTGCTGCTACTGTAAATTTTATGTAAAGAAAGTGCGGGAGGGTGAAAATAAAATGCACAGAGTGCGACATCTTCTAGAACCTAATAAACTGCAGGCGGTGCCCCCACTAGAATGTCTAGAGAGCTCTACAATAATAAAAATGAATGCAAATGACGGGGTTTCATAAGTTGTAGTTTATGAAGTCTGTTGTGAAGTTTGGAAGTTTGAATTTGTGTTTGGATTTTCCAAAAGAAAAAGTTATAGAAACCTGGGTTTACATAACTGTGTCTAGTTTGGGAGTTCATGATTCTTAAAAATTAGTATGTAATATGAAAGGTGGATATCATAAACCTGAGTTTACTAATCTATGGTGTAAGATGAGCGAACCCACATACTATAATATAGATTTGGTTTAGGTTACACAAGCCAGACACCCAGCCACTTAAAGTTGGAATAAAAGATGCTTTTCATATTTTTCTTACATTTTGAACTTGCAAACGCAAGTCTTTGGTCCAGGACAATACCATATTTGTAGAATGTCCAAAGGAATGGTGCTTCAAATTCCATCTTTCTAGTGGGCATGCATGAAAGGAAAAAATAAAACATTTCAAGTGATATCTAAGAATCTCTATGCTCTCACTTTGTGTACATGTTTCTTGCTCAGGACTTGTTTTAAGTCATTAGATTATCTATTTGCTATTTCATGTCTTCTAAAGTCTTTCCCCGTGCTCAGGTAACGAGAAGTGTAGATACAGAACGCGGTAAGCTTAGTCCACAGGAGCAGAAGACTGTTGATGCCATTGTTGAAGCAAGGTGAAAATGAAGTTCTTACATTACTCCTAATCCCCATTTTACTCTTTATAGCTCTCAGCACCTCTGTATCCCCATGCGATAATCATCTGTATTTTTATTTCACTGCAGCAAATTTCCTCTGTCGATTGTTTTAGTTGGAGTTGGAGATGGCCCATGGGATATGATGAGAGAATTTGATGACAATATCCCATCGCGTGCATTTGATAATTTTCAGGTTAGTGTTATACCATCAATTCATCGTTACATCCGAACATACATTCATATGTATGTTTATGCATATACACATCCACACGCCTGGATGAATACTTTCTGTTTGTTATATTTTATTGTTTCTTCCTCTCTATCATTGGAACTCTGTCTTATTCTCTCATTAACTCTCTTTTTCTGTCTAGTTTGTAAATTTCACGGAAATTATGTCAAAGAATATAGCTCCATCTCGGAAAGAAACTGAGTTTGCTCTTGCAGCTTTAATGGAGATTCCTTCCCAATACAAGGCTACAATAGAGCTTAACATATTGGGGTAAGAGATTATTTCCTGCTTCAGTTGTTATTTTGCTAGTATCTGAAGTAATTGTTTTGTAAACCTTATCTACAACGAAAAGAAATCAGAAACACGGGATTATAAATTAAATTTCCTCAACGGATTTCAAGTTAAATCAATTGAGAACAGTTCTCAGAGATTATTTTAGGACGTAAAATATTTTAGAAATGGGTCTAAGAAACAATCTTTATGTCTCTCATTATTTGAGCAGTGGTCACAAGGGCATTTCTCCCCAGAGGATTGCACTCCCTCCACCCATCTATGGCGCAGCATCTTTTAGCAGTTCAAAATCTTTTAGTAGTTCGAAGCCTGCCTGGTCTTCCAGTTACGAGCCGAGCGTGCCTTCCTTCCCCGAAATTAGAACTCCTACTAGCACTGCTCCTCCTGTAGCAAACTCAACTTATGACAACCAGGTCTGTTAAATTTTAATCTTGTTTGTCATGTTTTCTTCACCCCTTTTTAAAAATTTTCTGTAATAATAAATCATGCTTACCATATTATGCACTAGCTGGGTTCAATCCAAATAGAGCATCCTTGTTGCTGGGTTTTGTGCAACGATAACCATTTTTCATATATTTCATATGTTTGCTGAGCACATTTCTTTAGAACACTATCCCGGTTAACGAAGCTTTAGAAAGCAAATAGAACACTATCCCAGGCTTCCGACATTTACAGTTTTTTTAACAAAGCTTGTTTAGTAAGAGGCTAAAATTGTACTGATCTTGAACAGGTCTGCCCCATTTGCCTCAGCAATCCAAAGGACATGGCTTTCGGCTGTGGACACCAGGTGAGATTTGATACAATTCTCTCAACTTTGTTCTGTTTTGACATATTATGGATAGAACACATATGAAGAATCCTAGATTTATGAATGGTTTGTTCGTTACAGACGTGTTGTGAATGTGGACAAGATCTCCAGACATGTCCCATATGTAGGAGCGCCATTCATACCAGAATAAAGCTCTACTGAGAAGCGGTCTCAGTTTTTTACTGCTTTGCTGAAATTCTTTGTAATTTATTCCACAATTGATCCAAAATGATGTTCTATCTGGTCAATGTGAGTTGTTCGGGTTATCGTCTTCGAATTTACTATGCGAGTTCATCTCTACGGCTGAGATGCCTACTTGAGAAAGATGAAGGACCCAGATTTCGCGCTTGATATGTACTATGGAATGTTCATTTGAAGATTAAAATTCTTTGAAAATGTTGGTCCAAATCTAGATGTTTTTAATATGAAAATGTACAGGCTACGCACCAAGATGGTATTGAGATTTTGAAAATGGGAGATGGAATTTGTTTAGGTTGGACTTGATATCCATTTTCTATTTTTTATTTTCTGTAACAGGATTTTGTTTTATATTCTTTTACAAGACTTGTAATTTTCAATTTTTTGGTTTCTAAACTTAGTAGGGATTTGAATTTTTTCAAATAGGGGCAAGATGAATATTTAAACGTCCATCTTAATTAGATTGGAAGGTCTTGAAATATAAGAATGGAGTTGAAGATTTTAAAATATTAGAAACTGAACTAAAACTTTATACGTATATCATATCATTTTTTTCAAAATATACATTTTAATTTTTAATGTTTGGGTAATTTTTTTTAAAAATTTAATCTCTATTCTTTAAAAAATTTTAATTTGATCTATTATATTTTAACATTTTTCAATTTAGTCCTTCTAATAGTATTTAATTAAACTTTCAGTGAATAAATGAAAATTGAACTTTCAGTGAATAAATGCAAAACTTGAGAGGAAAATTGAACAATTTCTGGAACTTTTTTCTCCTCAAAATTTCTGTCAATTAGTGAAACATTGTGACAGGTAAGTTAATCCTAAGTTAATTTTTAATGATAGAAGATTAAATTTTAAAATTATTACTAAATTAAAATACAATAAAGATTAAATTAAAAAAGCATTTAAAGTATTATATTAGGGACCAAGAGAGAAAAATAAATAAAACTTTACATGAAGTTTTAAACCTCGATGTTAATATATATTTCTAAAAAGATTATAAAATTAATATTATTTCTATATTAATAATATTATAACGATATTTTTATATTTTATCAAATTTTCTATAATATTATAAAGAGATAAATTTATCTCTCTATCTATCGAACCATGTCAAAAAATATAAAATCTCACGACAAACATTTAATATCATGTTTTTATATTTCAAATTGAATATAAGTCAACGATAATTGATACATATTTATATTTAAAGAGACTGTGAGTCTGATTTCTCCCGGTTGGAATGAAAAGAAAAACGTAGGTTTACATATTTAGCAGTTGCAGGCCTTTGGCGATGCAGCAAATACGATAAACAGTGGGAGTTAATTAGCAGTGTCTGTACGCGCGAACCCAACCCAATCTCCTTTCGCACGAGAAACAGCGAACGATAGCGGAAGCTCAGTCTCCACGAAAATCTTCACTCTCTTTCACCTTCTGTTGGCTTTTCGTTTCCCTGAATCTTCTGTGAGCTCCCTTGGATCATATCCTGCTGTAATGAAGCACAAGACCCAGTCCCTGTTCTCCACTCGGCGTCTTAAGCTCCTCCTACTCGTCCTCATCTTACTTCTTGGCCTCCTCTGTCTCTATTATGGATCGTCTTTCGCACCCGGCTCGCGCAGATCTGATGTGGAGGAATCTTTCGGCTCTGATCCTGGTTTTGTCGGGGCCGTCATCAATCACGATTTGGATGATTTGCATGAAGATCAAGAGCTCAATCCCGAGGTCCCTAAAAGCATACCTGTAAGCACCAATACCTTCAACGTCTATTGTTTTCATTGGTTTGCTTGATATTGTTGTTTGTTTCGAAATTTGAGTGCCAAAAGACTGA